TTTTTCTTTATATTTGAGTTTATTTTATAAGCTACTTCTGAGTTTAAAACTGGAAGTTATTATCCTCATGGATTTAAATTGCAATGAATTGTATCATTTAATTATACATAATGACTTCCTATTTTGCTTTTTGTCTTAATCTTTTATGTATTTTTTTGAAATAAACATTTTCACTCTCATCTTTGGTTTTTAATGTTACAGTCCTCTTGATTTAAGAATCATACTTTCTATAACCAATCCACCATTGTTGAGTATTTTGATAGTCTTCATTTTTTTCTTTTGTTTGCTCATGAATGACATCTTGTGTATCTTGTGTATATAGCTTTCTGTTTCACTCGGATGCATCTTAGAAGTAGAACTGCTGGGTTTCTTGGGTATACACATTTTCTTTGCCTGTTGGTATTGCCAGACTGCTTTTCAAAGGAGTCATACTTGTTTACAATGCCACCAGCACTATTTAAGTATCCACTAGACACCATTGGTCATACGATATACCATTATTTCATGAATTGCTAAGAAACAAAAGTCTTTTTCAGTTAAAATGATACAATACATTCTTATGTAGAATTATTTCATACTTATTAGAAGTTATCTTTTAAGTATAGCTGGACATAATTTTTATTATATCACTTGAGAATACATTAAAAGGAAAAATGGTTAGGGTATTTCTGAGGCTTTACAAAGTTCTGTTCTTCTGTTACTTTTTTACTCAACAGTTGTCTTTATTTCTCCACACTATACATCAAGGATGTTGGTGATGGCAAAAAAACTAATAACCTGATAAAAAATGGGCTATGGACTTGAATAGACATTTCTCCAAAGAAGACATAAATGGCCCAGGTATATGAATAGATAGATGCTCAGTGTCACTAATCATCAGGGAAATGCAAGTTAAACCACAGTGACCTATTACCTTATATCATGATGGCTTTTATCAAAAAACAAATGACAAGTATTGAGGATGTGGAGAAATTGGAACCCTCGTACATTGTTGATGGAAATGCAAAATGGTGCAGCTGCTGTGGAAAGCAGTATGTAGATTCCTCAAAAAATTAAAAAATAGAACTTACAGGACCCAGTAATCCCATTTCTGGACATTTAAACAAAATAATTGAAATTAGGATCTTGACAAAATGTCAGCATTCCTACATTCATTGCAGCCAAGATGTGGAAACAGCCTACCAGTGGAGCAATGGATGAAGAAAATGTGGTTTTTACATAAAATGCAATATTATTCAGCCTTAAAAAAATTTGTGCAGTATTTCACAGTACAGATAAACCTTGAGGAAGTTATGCTGAATGAAATAAGACAGTCTCAAGGACAAACAATACATGATTCCATTTAGATGAGGTATCTACCGTAGTCAAGACTCATAGAAGCAGAGAGTAGAACGGTAGATGGCAGGGGCTGGGGAGGAATGGGGAGATGTTAATCAGCAAGCATGAAGTTTCATTTATGCCAGATTAGTAAGTTCTAGAGCTCTGCTGTACAGCATTGTTGCTGCATTTAATGAAACTGTATGTACTCTTAAAGTTCTAAGAGAGGAGATTTCATTTTAAGTGTTTTCACCAGAGTAAAAAAATGTTTAATGTTAGTGACAAAGCGTTCTTTATGAATGTGGCCAATAACAATTATGTGATGCTCTCAATTGTAAAATACATACTGATTTTAGATACGTCAGAATGTGAAAGATTGCCTCCTAGAATCACTAAAATATGGCAGTTTCACAATAACTTACTGGGAATCATTATTTAATGTTTTCTCTAGCCCAATAAGGTATAAATGCCACCCATACCAATTTTAACTGGTGTTTTTATTATTAATAAAGTTGAATATTTTTCAGTATCTGTAAGAGTGTCATTTTAGCAACTAAGATAAAGATCTTTAGTACAAAAATTAAAGGTGAGATTGTACTTTATCACTGTATGCAAGTTTACCAAGGTTTTCTTCAAAGGGAGACCATTTAATATAGGTATTAGTTGATTTTATAAAGAATATAGTTTAAGAAGTACTGCTCTCTAGAACTGGCATTTATAAGTTTTAAACTGTCATTCTTGAACTTGCACATTAGAATCTCCAGGGAGCCTAGTGAAATGTAGCTTCCTGGCCATGTCTCAGAGTTTGAGTGACTTAGTGTGGAGTGACGTACAGGCGTCTGTATTCATAAGGAGCACCCCGGTGATCACCATGCTCATGGACTGTGCTGAGAAGCTGTGGAAGGTTGAAGTGAGCTATAGATTTTCTGAGACCCCTTTGGTAACACTGGCTGAAAATTTAAAGGGGTAGAATACTTGATTACAAACCCATGGAAACTTAATAATGGCTTTTAATATTAGGAAGCGAGGAATTTTAGTTGATTAAATGTGAAGAGTCCAGAATGTCTAGGATCTTGAGCAGAATTCCACTGAAGTCAGGATTGTTGAATGCCAGGTATATCATTCTATCCTCTGTAACAGAAAAAAGATGGAGATTTTTTCAAGGTATTTCTTTTTTATTTGTAGTTGCTTCATTTCAGGGCTTTCTCAGTATCTCTTTTGTCTACAGAAATTAGGCTACAACAAGGTTTGCTAAATTAAGCAGATTGTGAGCTCCATGAATGAGCTTGTGTTCATGCTTAAATTCATAGTCTCTGAGACAGTGCTTGGCACATGGTACCATTCAGCAATATTTGTTCAATATATGAATATACAGAACAGTTTACGTATAAGGTACTCTTCAGGGAGGAAGTTTGCTTTGAATTACTTAAACTGCCTATCAAATTTTTGGCAATTGATTTTACAGAGGATTTGTATTAAACCTACAATGGGTTTTTAATTGAGGATCATTGTTAAATTTAGGGGAATAATTATATCATTTAGATCCTTTCCATGTAAGTTACATTTTAAACCTATAATTGGTGTTATGAATAGTGCTTTTGCATTAAAAGCATTGTTCTTTTTCTTTTAGGAGTTAATGGAGCAGTTTCATCAAGTTGAATCTCAACTGAATAAGCTAAATCATCATCTTACTGATACTCTGGCTGATGTGAAGACAAAAAGAAAAATTTTAGCATCTAATAAACTGCATCAAATGGAAAGAGAATTATATGTATATTTTTTAAAAGATGAAGATTATCTGAAAGATATTGTGGAAAATTTAGAAAAACAATCAAAGATTAAGACTGTTGGTCTCGAAGATTGATATTACTAAACTGAATCTTTACTACATACGCTATGTTTTAACATTTTATATATTGGGAGGAGAATATAACCAATAAACACTACTAAAATTTTGAATTTGAGGTCAATGGAACATTTCATTTAATGATTCAAGGGTTATTTTTTTTCCTTAGCATGTTTGTTCAGAGTGACAATGCTTTTTATGACTTGAACATTTGCTTGGTGGAACTTAATCTTGAGAGCTTTTTAATACTTAGTTATCTCTCCTTTACTATTTTTTTTAAGAAATATAAATTTTCTGCTGTTAAATGTTTTAAAAAGTTGAAGAATGTTAAGTCAGCATTGTTAAAGCTGTAGACCTTAATATATGGAATAGCCAAGTCCCTTCTTCATATTTGATTTTAAGTATAATCCTGTAACTCAAACTATATTCCCCTATAGTTTCCAGCCTCAGACTTTGAGAGTCTTAATGTTCCTAATTACATCGCAAAGAATGTCAAGTCCCTATTGGCCTTTGTTCATTTTAGAGGCTGAGTCCTGGGGACTCAAAAATTTCTACAGGACAAATCTTGAGCAGTGCTGACTTTTGTGTGACTTATGTATTGTAATGACTTTGAAATGTCAGTATTTGGTAAAAGTGATTGTCAAAGGATATATACTGCTATTTTAAAGAGTTCCTTTGGAGTGAGAGTGAAAATACTTAAATATTGGATTGTATTAGGTGGGATACAAGTGTAGTATTAGGAAAAATAGAAATTATTTTAAGAGTTAGAAATAATTTGAAGTAGCTTATTTATCACTTATTGCATCAAATGCTTCTTGAGTACCTGATTTATGTGGCCTGTATTGTGTGCCATGCAAGCTTTATACAGAAAAGAGAAGGTGAGGGTAATTACCTTCAAGATTATTCCTGTTCCAAGGATGTATTACCTGCTTTTATACAGAATGCAAGTCTAAAATCTACACACTTTAGGTGATCTTTATGGAGTTTTTTAACTATAACCATCAGAAAATCAGTATGCTTAGGTGACAGATGATTGAGCCACCAATCTTAGGTGACAGATGATTGGTAATTTTTGTAATCCATTGAACAAAATTGTTTTGCCAATTATTGTCTTTTTACATTATTTAAAATTTTATATGAACTAGATTAATATGCTTGAAAATTTTGCAGCAGTACATGGTATTTAGAATTTTGCTGTTAGCTCCTCATGGATGACTTTTCCCCCCTTTTTTCGCTATTCTACCTTGGAATAAGGAATTTACTTAGATTTTTTCTTTTCTCAGTAATGTGAAAAAATAATGTCACCTAGTGTCCTAGCTCATGGAACAGGAAGTTCAGTTTAGATCAGTGCTGAATGTGTCAGATGTATGACAAGCTACTTGATGACTTGTGCTGCCTTTTCCAGACCTTCACCCAGTCAGCTGGGGGCCCGGTATAGTAAGCCATGCAAGGGAAATGGTGTCAGGATGTGTGTGTCTCATAATTACCCAAGTCAGTTAAAAGTAATTGTTATGTTACTAAATTTGCATATTTGAAAGTTGAACAGCTGTACCAAACCTCAGAAAGTATTTGAGTAGATGCGCTTGCTTTAAAATTGTTCAACTAAAACACAGGTTCTTTACTTTGTTACCTATTTACCATAATACCCCAGTTGAGCCCATAACTGTTTTGCTTTCTTCTTAACTTTTCTGTTGTATTATGGACACAAGTGATACCTATTTCCTGTGGTTTTTAATATAGTGATTTTTATGGAAGTCTGAGTACATAACACTTTTCAAATGTTTCTTATTTTGAAGTCTCAATTAATATATGGGCATTATGTTTATTTTATGTTTAGGATTTTATGAAAATGGAAAATTACAAGGCACCTGTAGGCTTTGATCTCTGTGCGATGCCACTCTCCAGCGTTGCTCAGAAGATTATGTCTGCTATACATTCAGGTGATTTAGTGGAGGCTAAGAACTGGAGAGAGAGTGGAAAGAGTGAGTAATTTTTATAAACCTTCCTGTCTCACTACCATGAACACTACTACCTCTTAAGACTGAAGTTTGAAAGTGAAATGTAGCAGAATTCTTCTGTAGAACTGGATAGGAAAGTTCCTGCCTCCAAAAAATGGAAGCCAGCTCCCTAACCTTTACTCTCAGTGGGGACCTAGCTGCTGCTCCCTCAATTTCACAATGCTCTTAGCCCTTATCACTTTAGAAATGTAATGCTCTCTTCCTTATTCTGTCAAGCATCTCTGTCAAGCATTCCCTTAGAATCTGGGTCTACAGTATAAGTAGCTTCTTGCTTCATTCAGCTTGAGCTCCCGGTCACTGAATCTGAGCATAGGGTTTGCTTATTGTGTATGGTGGACAACAGAATGGCTGTAACATTATGTATACTGTCCACCGCAGAGATACATAAACTTTTAAAGGTGGCAGAGATTGTTGGTCTGTGTGCATATATCTCTGACATGTGATATACTAGTAAAAACTGACACGTGCTCACAAGTGCAACTAAAAAGTTTGAAACACCAGTTTTGTTTTGTTTTTTTAAATTCATTTTGTTATAATCTACATTTACGTGAAGAACATTATGTTTACTAGACTACCCCCTTCACCAAGTCCCCCCCACAAACCCCATTACAGTCACTGTCCATCAGCATAGTAAGATGCTGTAGAATCACTACTTCTCTGTGTTGCACAGCCCTCTCTGTGCCCCCCCCACATTATACATGCTAATCGTAAGGCCCCCTTTCTTTTTCCCTGCCCCCTTATCCCTCCCTTCCCACCCATCCTCCCCAGTCCCTTTCCCTTTGGTAACTGTTAGTCCATTCTTGGGTTCTGTGATTCTGCTGCTGTTTTGTTCCTTCAGTTTTTCTTAAGAACACCAGTTTTTTTAAACCAGCAAAGTAATTTTTATTTTAAATTTGTAAGACTGGGCCAAAAACTTGTTCTTTGTTTCTTTTCTGAGCAGTAAGGTATGAGTGAGGCGTAATGGAATAATTATATTGAGATGAATGATTGAGTATTGAAGACTAGCATAATAGTTGTTACAAATGCAGTTCCTTGATAAAGATACAGAAGCACTTAACATATCCATCATTAATAGGAAGGCATCTGTTGGCTTGTGTAGAAGTCACTAGTAAATTAACTGGTAGGAATTCTTAGGTGTAGCCTACATACCTAGCAATTGACAGTGCTTTAGGGGGAAGGGTAGCAGTGGGTGGAATAGTAAAGAAAGATAAATATTTAAACAGCAAAGAAGTTTTTCTTTATTCTGTAGACTTGCTTAGTAAAAGAGCAGTGTGTGCCTGATGGGTAGAAATATATGTCTCTTTAAAAACTGGTGCAGGCAATGAGATGTCCCTGGTAGCCATGTCAGTTTCTGTTGAGAAAAATTTATGGCAGTCACACCATCTCATGAGCTCTCTTGTTATGCTTTTAAAATACCTTGTTAAAAATCCTAGTTACCATAAATTTATTGAGAAGATAATGGAAAAAGTTAAGGTATTTTCTGTGAGGTGTGCTTGGATTTGGAAAAAGTAGAATTTTCACATGGGCTCTGTTCTGTCTGTTGCTGCATAACTCTGTTACGGAAAACCTGGTGACTTGAAACGACACACATTTGTTACCTCACAGTTTCTGTGGGTCAGGAGCCTGGGTACAGCTTAGCTGGGGCCTTTGCCGGGCTACAGTGCAAGTGTCAGCCAGGGCTGGAGTCTCATCTGGGGCTCAGATGGGGAAGCATTTTTTTCCAAGCTCACATGGCTGTTGGCAGAAGTGAGTTCCTTGTAGGTGTTTGAACTCAGGGCCTTAGTTTCTTGCCAGGTGTTGGCTGGAAGCTGCCCTTTGTTCCTTCCCATGAGGTTCTCTCCTTGGGCAGCTTTATAAACCTGGTGACTTAAACAACACCCATTGTTATCTCACAGTTTCTGTGGGTCAGGAGCCTCCTATTTATAAATTCTGTAAATTTATAAATTACTGTAGCTTGCTTTTTCAGACCAGTAAGAGTGTCCCTAGCAAGACTGACACCACAGTCTCCTAACATAATCACAAACATCCTGTTACCTTTGCTGTATGTTGTTGGTCAGAAGTCAGTAAGTCCCATCCACACTTAGGCAGGGCATGAATGCTGGGAGGTAGGTCATGGCATCTCCTTAGAGTCTGTCTGCCATAGGGTTTTATTCTTACTTCATGTGAAGCTGCTTAAAGCTGGGTTGCTTGTGGTTTATTGATGAGTGCTGCTGGACCTAAGATCTCATTAATTCCGGAACTCATGTCACAAGCAGAACTTACTGTGTCAGATCCTTATCTAAGTAAAGTATTGTAAGTCAGTCTTTCATTTCTGAAAGACATTTCATACCAAATAAATATAAAAATAGAACTCAAGTCAGTGGAAATAAACTACAAATACTTGGTTTTACAAACACTTAAGTAAAACCAAACAGTATTAATGTTGTATGTCACTTTGGGATCTAATTTTCTGATCTGGACTGAGGTGTCTTGAGATACACATCTAGTAAGGGCTGGACTGAGTATAGGGCTGGACTTGTAGCAAGATCAGTCTTTATTTAAAAATAATTTCTGTGAAAAAAGATAGGAAAACTTAAAATACAGTTTAATGAAGTAATAGAGGCCATCCATCAAACTACCATCTGCATCGACACTTCTCCAAATTTCCTTCTCTGTTAAAACCCTCTCCCTGCCCAAAAATAACCATTATCCTGACCTCGTGGCAGCCATGTCCTCCTTCTGATCGCAGGCATTTCATATTGCTCCAAAGGTATTGTTAGCAGAGGTTACTTGTCTGCCACACCAGCGTTTGTCTTGCCCTTATGAGGCACATTGCCAGACCGCATGGCTCAGGCTGCAGTCAGGTGTGACTAAGTGGTTCCTGTCAGTGGGATGTGAGTGAGCTCAGGTAATGTGTGCAGTTTCCAGGGTAGGTCCGAAGACATTTGACTTGCTTTCTAGCCGGCCGCTTCTCTTCTCTCCAGTTGCAAGCTGAAGACCCCTTTCCAGCCTTGCAAATGATAGCGGTGTCCTGGAAGAGCAAGGTGCTGGAAGGAACTGGGTCATGAGCAGCCTCATGGAATGGCTATACCACCAGCTGAGACCACTTCCCTCAGAGCATGAGAGAAATAAACTTATGTTTGTGTTCCTTAAGTGTTAATATTGTTGGGTCTTTTGTGACTGTAGCTTAGCTTTTTAATTCATATGCTTACACTAGATTCAGAATTGGGTTCATGTGCCTTAAATTTTCATTGTCATGTTGCTCAGTGTGATGTCACTGAAAGTCTTTGGTAAACACTGTGGAAGGAGTTGTTTTTGGGGTGTTTTCAGGATTGTTGGCTGACCTGTGCCTTGTACGGGGCTATGGTTAAGTGTATATTAGAATATATCTGTTTTGTCTAAGTACCTAAGAAATCAAATAACATTTAAGTACATTTACCCACATTCTTTTATATTTTAACTTAATAGAGTTTAGAGGTGAAAGTGGTGTTTTCCAGGAAAATAAAATTTACAGATAATACATATTAATAGAAGTTTGAGACCCCTAAAGGTAAATATTTGTCAAAACTCAATTTGTTACTGGCACAAGAACAGAGCCACAGACCAGTGGAACAGAATAGAGATTCCAGACACTAACCCAAACATATATGATCAATTAATATACTCTAAAGGGGGCATGGATATACAATGGGGGAATGACAGCCTCTTCAACAGCTGGTGTTGGCAGAACTGGACAGCTACATGCAAGAGAATGAAACTGGATCACTGTCTAACCCCATACACAAAAGTAAGTTTGAAATGGATCAAAGACCTGAATGTAAGTCAAAAACCATAAAACTTTTAGAAAAAAACATAGGCAAAAATCTCTTGGACATAAACATGAGCGACTTCTTCATGAACATATCTCCCCAGGCAAGGGAAAAAAAAGCAAAAATGAACATGTGCGACTATATCAAGCTGAAAAGCTTCTGTACAGCAAAGGACACCATCAATAGAACAAAAAGGCATCTGACAGTGTGGGAGAATATATTCATAAATGACAGATCCGATAAAGGGTTGACATCCAAAATATATAAAGAGTTCACACACCTCAACAAACAAAAAGCAAATAATCCAATTAAAAAATGGGTAGAGGAGCTGGACAGTTCTCCAAAGAAGAAATTCAGATGGCCAACACACATGAAAAGATGCTCCACATCACTAGTTATCAGAGAAATGCAAATTAAAACCACAATGAAATATCACCTCACACCAGTAACGATCACCACCATCCAAAGACAGACAACAACAAATGTTGGCGAGGTTGTGGAGAAAGGGGAACCCTCCTACACTGCTGGTGGGAATGTAAATTAGTTCAACCATTGTGGAAAGCAGTATGGAGGTTCCTCAAAAAGCTCAAAATAGAAATACCATTTGACACAGGAATTCCACTTCTAGGAATTTACCCTAAGAATACAGTAACAGCCCAGTTTAAAAAAGATGCACCCCTATGTTTATCACAGCACTATTTACAATAGCCAATAAATGGAAGCAACCTAAGTGTCCATCAGTAGATGAATGGATAAAGAAAAGGTGGTACATATACACAATGGAATATTATTCAGTCATAAGAAGAAAACAAATCCTACCACTTGCAACAACATGGATGGAGCTAGAGGGTATTATGCTCAGTGAAATAAGCCAGGCGGAGAAAGACAGGTACCAAATGATTTCACTCATTTGTGGAGTATAAGAACAAAGAAGACTGTAGGAACAAAACAGCAGCAGAATCACAGAACCCAAGAATGGACTAACAGTTACAAAGGGAAAGGGACTGTGGAGGGTGGGTGGGAAGGGAGGGATATGGGTGGGGAAAAAGAAAGAGGGCCTTACAATTAGCATGTATAATGTGGGGGGCGGGTGCACGGGGAGGGATGTGCAACACAGAGAAGACAATTAGTGATTCTACAGCATCTTACTATGCTGATGGACAGTGACTGTAATGG